ATTGGGTCTTTAAATTTGGGGGGTTCTGAGTTTTTTGAGTTCTTTATGTATTCTGCATAGTAGTTCTTTGTCTGAAGAGCAGCTAGCAAAAAATTTTTCCCACACTGTGGGTTGTCTGTTTGGAGATAATTTCTAAACATATAAATTATTCATAATTAAAATTTTTCTACTAGCTCTGCTTCACAAAATCTAATTTTTCATCAAACATAGTGATACTTGATTATACGTTTCTGTGATATCCAGTAATCAGTGTAGCAGATGTATCTCAAACCTGTACTCTCCGGAAAAGTAAATGCTTATTTGTTAGCTTGCTGCTTAAATACTAGGGAGCAAAATCACCTTATCAGTTATGACCTGACTATGACCGTTTAAATTCTATTAAGTATACATTATTTTAAAATGGAAAGTCCTCCCTGTTTCACCTCAAGCAAGCTTTCCTCCAAGACTCTAGACCTTGAGATATCTACTCTCTTCACTTCCACTGTCTGTCAATTTTGTCCAAACATAATTCATTAGGTTCTTTTCCCAAAGAAACAATAGTTCACTCCTTGGATGGTTTAAAGAGAAACACTGTTTTTATTATTATTAATTAATTTATTTGTTTATTTTGAGACAGGGTCTTACTATGTAGTGCAAGCTGGCCTTGAACTCAGTGATCCTTCTGCCTCAGCCTCCGGAGTGCTAGGATCACAGGCGTGTACCATACTGCCCGGCTGTCCTTTATTTTATTATTATTATTTTTTTTGAGGCAGAGTCTCGCTATGCAGTTCAGGCTGGCCTTGAGCTCACTTTATAGCCCAGGCTGGCCTCGAACTCGCAACGATACTCCTGCCTGGGATTACAGGCGTATGCCACCAAGCCCGGTTTATAGGCCTCTTCTTTGGTTTGCAGATAGCTTCTTTCAAATTAGGTCTTCCCCTTGTCATTGTTTTGTGCCTGAACATGCCTAGCTCCCCATCTACTTTTAGGGGAGGGGCATAATGGGTCTCGAATCCAGGGAGGCTCTACCCCTGAGCTACAGCCTCAGACCTTTTCATTCCTATGTATGTATGTATGTATGTATGTATGTATGTAGTGAGGATTGAATGCAGGGCCTTTGCATTGAGCTCTATCCCCAGCCTTTTTATTCTTTTATTTCCAGACGGGGCTTGGTAAACTGCCCAGGTGAGACTCAAACTTGCCAGGCTCAACCTCTCAGAGTGCTGGGATTACAATCCCGCACCACCACATCTGGCTCAAACTTTACTTTTTAACATGAACTTCAAACACTGTCTCAGCTGCCATCATTCATGACGATAAGGATGGCAATGAGCTAATGCAGGAAACGATCAGAAAAGTGCCAGGCACTGATTTCCATGGGAGGTCTCTAATCCCACTGAGGCCCTTCAGAGCCTCACCTGCTCCTGGACCACGGAGAGGACTGCAGGCACCTGGAACCGAGGACCGGAGATGGCTGTTAGGCCTGCACATGAATGGCCTGGCGCCCCTCCCTGCGAATGCGCGTCCTTTTCTGAGCCTGAGCTCACGTGCAGGCAGTTTCTCATGTGGAAGGAAGAACAGTGCCCAGCCACCACCTGAGCTCAAGGGGGAGGTGGGACCGAGTAGGTCAGGCCCGGGAAACCCCCGTGGGCCTCACCCACAGGGCCTCATGCCCTTTACCCGCCTGGGACAGCACCCTCCGGCACGGAAAACCTTCCTCTGGTGGGCCTGTTCCCTTATGGCATACCAAGGTGCCTGTCTATACCTGCTGCACTGCGCCTGAGTACTTGTCTCCCACTCGCCCCAGCAAGACGCAGGGCAACCCAGCCCCACTGGAGAGACTGTAGCGCGGGTCTAGCGTTTTATATATGCTGCAGGATGGTCACGTGACACCTTTGGCGCATGCACAGCCTGTATGGTAGGCGTAGGCTGCGCATGCGCGGGCCTTGTCTTCTTAACAAGAGACTGCTATTGCTGAAACTCTGTGTGAAGACTATGGGTTTAACCCTCCAATACCGGAAAAACATTTTTTTAATTATGGCTATATGATAGCTACTTTCTCTACTATACACGTTTACATTAAATGCATTCCTTGATTTCCCTTGCCAACAAAGTGGTATTATTGCCATCCCTGTAGAAAAGAGAAACTGAAGCTCTCAGGGAATCGGTGGTTGCCCAGGATCCCTCATTCTGGGCTTGGAGGTAGCTAGTGGTAGTGTTCCCAAGGACCAGGAGCAGAAACGGCTAACACTAACATGCAAGACTGTGTTGAATGCTTTACAATATCAAGTCTCTCAGTAGGAAGCCAGGAAGTAAATATCATGGGCCTGCCCTGGTGGCATATGCCCGTAATCTGAGTATTGTGGGAGGCTGAGGCAGGAAGATTGTGAGTTTAGTGGGTGTTGGTCTTGAGATGTTAGGCAGACAGTCCCAGTGAATCTGCTGAACTCCCAACCTAAGCAACAGGCCCAGGGCCTCATCACTGCTGTGTCTGTGGAGCCTTTAAGTTTGTGGTGATTTGTTTTGCAGCAGGAGAGAATTGGTGGGGGTGAATTAGATATCTCCCTCCCCTCAGGCCCGTCCTTCCCCTAGGCCTGGTCCTGCCAGCAGGGTAGAAGGCACAGACCATGCCCTGCTGGTCTGGCTGGCAACTGCCTGGGTATGAATCCCCTTGCACCGTGGTGAGCTGGGCTGTGGGGAAGTTTCTTGGCCTCTCTATGCCTTTCTTTGATTGATAATTGTGTGTGAGACAGTGTAACAGGAAAAGACCACATGTATGTGGCCACAGAAAGTTGAGAAAGAGGCACATTATGGTTCTACATAGATGAAAGTAAGTTTATTATAACATGACAGCAGAGATGAGCATGGTCTGATAATACATTACCACAAAACAAGGCAAGGGACAGCACCAAAGATGAAAGGGAATCTTCTTCGGAAGGATCCCGCATGAGACAGAGCCTTCAGCAGGCGAGAGAGAAAATGCCAACAATGTACCCATTTTATTTGTTTCTTAAGTACTATGTTCAGACAAAAGCGGCTTGATGCCAACAGGCCTGCGTGTGTTAGAGTGTCTTGGGTCTGGCTAAAACCAAGGACACTCACAGCGCACTCAAGGCTGTCTGTACATAACATTTCCTTCCCAGGGAGATAGCCAGTGTCTCTGCAGAAAGGCGGCAGCCAAGGTCATTTCAGTGAACACCTGCATTTTGCTGACTCTCATCACTTTTCACCCTTTGCCTGACAGAGAGCAGGCCTGAGAGGACGGAACCTACTTCAACGCAAGTGGTGATGCCACAGGCCTGTCAATTAGGCGGGCCCAGGACCAACACCAAGCTACCAGAGTGCTGGCTCCTACCCAGAGGCCCTGGGGAAGACTCTGCACACTTGTGAGGTCACTGAGCCCAGCTCCTGTGGCCATAGGACTGAGGTACCCATTTGCTCCCAGGGCCTGGAGTCCTTGCCATGTGGCCCTGTGCCTTCACCTTCAAGCCAGCAAAGGCACATGGAGTCTCTCACAGGCTGAGAACCTGAAGTCCTCTTTGGTTACCGGCCAGAGAAAACTTTGGGACTCTGGAGACACTTGTGGTTTGGCTGGAACACTGATCACCTCCTTCTCCGTCTTGTGACACATTTAATCACAGCACTGAAATCACCACAGTGCCAGTCATGGAGAAGCAGGAGGGCCTGCGCTGTGCTGGATGCTGCAAATCACAAGCCAGGACAGCCGGGAGGATGGGCCTGGGGGTGCGTGAAGGTAAGTCTTGGTGAAGGTAAGTCTGTGATGACACTGCCTTCTGGACAGCAGTTTCCACTGCTGTCCAAAAGTTCCAGTTCCCGCAATGTGAGGATGAAGGCTGGAACAGGCAAAGAGCCAAACTTTGGTTGACTAGTTGGCTTTTCGGCTCAGGTCCTGGTTGAGTGTGGAGTGATGCATGTGTGGGAACATCTGTAGACATGGCTGATTGTGTGCACATATTGCTGGGGATGGTACTCAGAGGCTTGGGCATGTTCATGAAGTACACTACCTGAGTCCTAGCCCTGTGTGATTTTTACCTAGTAGCCTTGGTGTGGGATCCGAAGGTTGATGGGTGGAAGACATGGTGACTCACCTGGCCTTTTGGTTTGCAAAGGAACTGGAGGTGTGACACAGTGGTACAGTACTTGCCTGTCTGTGGCAAGCTTCGAATTCAATCCTGGTGGGTAGGGGGGGCAGGAGAGTTAAAGCAAAATAAGTCAACATTCCACCCTGGACCACATGTGTCCCTGAGGGCCTGTCTAAGACCTAGACCAGCAGCGCTCGCAGATCATTGAGATGGGTTCATTTGGTCCTGGACTGGCTGCCCTTTAAAAGGAAGAGGAGGAAGTGGTAGTGTTTCTGGGACTCTGAGACACACTGCTTTTGAGCAAGATCCAATACACCACAGCTCAGTGAGGACAGATCCCCTGTTCTCCCTGAGCCTCCCACCCTGTCTGCCTCCGTGGCTAGAACTCAGTGATAACTGTTCAGGTGGACTGGGCTCAGGCAGCAGGAGGGGCAGTGGCCAAAAAAGTCTGTATGTCCTTGGACCACTTGAGTCAGGGACTAAGAATCCCGCAGCTCCAGCAGTGAGGTCCAGGCAAGCTGAGTACAGCATAGCCACTGAGGCTTCACTGCTGTTACAGTCACCTCTGTCCCCAAATCAGTGAATCATGTCAGGTCAGACAGCAGCACAGCTGTGTGTAAGCTACATGTGAGCACGGTGGTTCACACTGCTGAGTCTGAAAGGGTCACGTGGACCCATGCAGCAGCTGTGCGAAAAGCCCTCCCTGTCCGTGTGATGAGTCAGAAAGACATCATCACACACTGGTGACACTGGCAGGCCTTGTGAAGGACCTGGGTAAAAGGAAGGAGTGTGAGTTTTCATGACCAAAGTGTCCTTAGCTTTCGCATCTGGGCCATGTGCCTGGATTCTTCATAAATAAATGACTACGTTTGAAAAATAAATCACAAGCTTTTATTATCCTCAACAACAGATGGCCAGGTTTGAAATCATGGGACTGAGCTACCACACTAGGACAGCGCATCCGGGCCAGGGCAGCCCCACATGGCCACCCAGAGTCCTGGGTTCTGCTGCCCATGGAGGCTGCAAAGGGGTCCCAGGCTCCTGGACACTCAAGAGCTCTCCTGTGTGACATCAGGAGGCCTGGCACTGGGGAACAGCGCAGTGTGCTTCGGGAAGCGGTGAGCATCCCCGCAGACCCCATGTCCCCTCCCGGCTGCTGGCCCAGCCGCTCTGCGCGTGTCCCCTCCATTCAGGCCACAGTGCTGGGTTCCTGAGGGCTCGGCAAGGTGTCCACCTCACTCTGAGTCCGAACTCTCACTCGACTTGGACGACTTCTGCTTCCGCTTCTTCTTCTTTTTCTTTTCCTTCTTTCTTTTCTTGTGCTTCTCCTTCTTCTTCTTCTTCTTCTTGTGTTTGTCTCTACACTCTGAGGACCCAGAGCTGCTTCCGTCCTCCTCTGAGGTGGAGTCGGCCAGGAGCTGTTTCAGCTGCTGGATCCTAGGCGTGCAAGATCGGGCAAAGGACTCTGAGTTCCCACTCAGGACAGTTTCCTCAAATAAGTAAATAACTTAAAATGAGTACGGAGGAGGAGTTGTGAGTAATGACCTTGCTGCACACAATACTTATTTTCATTGTCCTAATGTCCTCTCCATGTTCCCAGAGCCCCTGAACTGTGACTTCTTTTTTTCTTGTTTGTTTTTGTTTCTTTTTCCCCCGGTACCGGGAACTGAACTCACGACCTTGCGCTTGCCAGGCAGGCACTGTGCCGCTGAGCTAAATCCCCAGCCCCCCCAAACTGTGACTTCTAACAGACACACCGCTCAATCTCCCAGTCATCACCCTCCCGAAGAGCAGCAGTTCCGTGCAACCAACCGGAAAGCAAGCCCCGCTCTGAACCCTCTATTTAATCATATTGAAGAATAAATTTTAACAGAAAGCACCTATAATCCCAGCTGAGGCAGGAGAAACACTTGAACCCATGAGTTCCAGACCAGCCTGGGTAACAAAGCTAACCCTGTCTCAAAAAAAAAAAAAAATCAAGGCTGGGGAAGCGGCTCAGTGGTAGAGAACCTGCCTAACACATGAGGCCCTGGGTTTGATCCCAGCACCACACACAAAAAGGTTCAGATCCTAAACGATACTGGAGAAGATAAACTACATTATATGAAAGAATAAATTGTACACGGCAAGTAAATGCCAAATGGTGGTGGCCAATGGAATTCCAGTGGCACAAATCTGCCTGGCCATGCCCACCACTAGACCTACACCCCATGGGAGGACACTGGCCTGCCTGTCCCTGCTCTAGCTGCGCATCCCCACACTGGCCTACTGATTCCCACACACCGGCTGCCCATCCCCACGTCGGCCTGCAAAGCGACAGGCCCCATCCTCCACGTCACTCACAGCTCAAGCCTGTGGTTCCAAAACTATTCCCTTGCATTAGAATGGTTGTTCCAAATCCTATGCAGTTTAAGACCAAGCAGATATCATCACCATGAGGACCTCACCTCACGTCCTTCTCATGTCTTTTATTCTCCCGAATGATGTCGTACATGGGATCTTCATGTGCCTTCAAAGAAGAGTCAAAAGAAGAAGAAAAGAGTCAAAGAAGGGTATGGTTTGGTTAGGCTTCATGGATGCTAGTTAAGTAAGAAATGTATAAATTGGGTTTTTAAAAATTATTTGCTGTAACTTTATATGTAACATATTTTACTCATTTTTTAAGAGTCCCAGCAATGTAAATGCATAAAGGCTACAAAAGGAATTTTCCAACTAGACAAGTACAGGGAATGATTAAATATTCTTTGTGAGGAAATAACTGCATAAAACAGTGGCATGGTCCTGGAGTGAGACAGCAGTCAAGTTGAGAATTATTGGACAGATGACCAAGAGATAATATTAAGTGACTCAAATGAGTTGTGATATGACACAGAATGACTTAGCCATATGTACATGTTACACACCCAAATAAGTCTGAAAATATCCACATAACACTACCTGATCCCACTCTGGGGAGGGAGGCAGGAATGGATTTACTGGTAAAACTCCTACTGTTAGGTTCCCATTTAGTAAAGCAAATATGTTCTTATATCATTTAGATGATTTAAAGTGGCTTTATATATAAGGGAAATGCCAAGCAAAGTAGCTCAAGTACCTTTTTAAAAACTACATGTTTATTGTAGAAATTATCAAAATATTAAAAATTTTTAAATCTATTTCTATTAGATAATTACTATTAACATTTAGTATATGGTAGGGTATGGTAGTGCATGTCTGTAATCCTAGCACGTAGGAGGATCGACACAAGTTTGAGGCCAGCGTGTGCTACCGTGAGCTCAAGGCCAACCTGAACTGCATAGTGAGACCCTGTCTCAAAAAACAAAAAAAGCCGCTTAATATGTTTTCCCTAGTCACCATTCATACTTATGTAAAATATGAATCATAGTATATATACACTGTTTTTCTGTTTATGAACATTTTCCCATAACATTATACATTCTTCTAAAACATAATTCCTAATGTCTAAAAACTTTCTAAATTACAATATGTTGTTATGCTAAAATGTTATTTCCCATATTACTTTATTTTTTCTTAATCCTATCAATATATAGCTGTTAATGTTAGGCCTGTAAGAGTTTTGTATGTATGGATGTTATATCCATATGGTAAATTTTTAGCAGTTGGATAGCCAACTGAAAAAATGAGTATGTTAAGGTTTTTGAGATTTATCAACAAACTATATTTTATACTATCTGTACAAACTGACATTTCACCTTCATTCTCCTAGGTCCAGAATTTCTTTCCAATTAAAATGAAAACACAAAACTTGAAAAGTCTTAAAAGTTTGGAGGGGTCTGCAGGTTCATGACATAGCCTGAAAACCTGGTACAGTCACCAAGTAGCCCAGGCCATGGGGCAGAAGTAGTCACTGAATGGTGAGCAGCCACCATGTCCTCTGGGAGGGGATTCTGTTAATGTGAGAAAATGATAGATGTGCCCTTCAGTCATCTGGACAGGAAATACACATGCACTTCTACCTTAAAATAGGAGGACACCAATCTTTAGATAAAAACTGAGAAATAAAAGTGCTGACTTTAATCATGAAACATGACTTTTTATTAAATAGGGGTCAAATAGATAACAATGACTGCTTTAGGAAAAGAACCACTGTTCCCAAGGCAGAAGCAAACAGTTCAATACGTAGTTTTTTGTTAGAGCTACCTGTCACACAAATGCATCACAGAGGGGAAGTTAACATCGCACACCCTGGCCGAGAGTCTTTGCGGAGCAGGTACAGGTTGCAGGGTGCCTGCCATCTCGCCAGTGGTCACCATCTCTGAGAAGTGTAAATTGACACCTCGGGTTTACTCACCACTCTGAACTGTTCTAACTTTTGGTTGCCTTTGATAAAGAAAGGGCATTCTTTGTCACCTGTCCGGTGACCATATCGTTTGCAACGCCAACCTAAAAACAAAAGAAGAGAAATATTTCTGTAAGAATTCACCTGAGAGGTCATTTCAGTAGATTAAAGCTTTTCTTCATTAGCCTTAAACTCTAAAAAGCAAATGCAACCAGTGGATTGCTACCCTAAACATCCTTGACTACTGGAGTTTGACGACTATTCCATCACCGAATATTTATGAAGCAATTCAATGCAAAAGTATTGCAAAAGCTGAATTTTCATGTCTCATTGTATTTTTGAGAGTAAATGTTTTCCATTCATCAAGTGGCTCTGATTCTCACTTACAAATTTGGACATAAGAATAGCTTCCTTTTTCCTCAGGTTGAATCAACTACTGTACAAATCCCTTATCTTCAAGTAAATAAAATCATCAGGTCTTTTAAAATGTTAACGCTATCAATGCTTGTATAAGTTTACCTGTAGAATGGGGAAACTGTCTTGTTTGAAGAGGTTTATGATGAAAAATAACAAAGCCCTGACAAGGGAGTATAATGAGGGAATATATAAACATGTTTCAAGTCAACATGGAGAAAGGACATCTTCAAGGAATATCAGTGCTTATGGACATCAGGCACTGAGCTCTGGGGAAAAGGAACATGGAGTGAAGCACACTTCTCTCACCTGTGTTCACCCTCCCAGTTCCTTCTGGATGTGGAGCAAACTAGAAGACTGTATGAAAATGGCGAGCTAATTAAGAACCTGTGTTTGGGTACTGATCAACGTCAGAAAGCAGGAAGAGAGACCTCAGGTAAGATCAGCCAATTTGGTTTGTATTGACAACTACAGAAAGGTTCTACTATACTGAAAGGCAAAGAGCTTGGCAAGGTGGAGCATGTCTGCAATCTCAGCTACTCAGGAGGCTGAGGCAGGAGGAGCACAAATTGAAGACCAGCCTGGGCAATTTAAAGGAACTCTGTCTCAGAATTAAATTAAATTAAAAATGACTGGGCACAGCGCTTGAAGGGTAAAGTGCTGGCCCAACGTTTGAAGTCCTGAAGTTCAATTCCCAGTAGTACAAAAAAGGGAGGACTTTCCCTTTCTATTTTTGATTGGAGGGCAGATGCAGGAATTGTTGAAAAGAAGGCAGTCTCAGGAAGAAGTGTCTGTCTCTGTGGTAAAGCTGAGTGGATGTGAGAAGCCATGGCACACCAGGTGCAGATAACTAAGAGATACTGTTTCTGCTCAAAACTGCCACCCAGTTAAAAGGGAAGATGACTGCTGCAATCCCAAGCATGGTCCACAGTTAAGGGACAACACAGGGAACTTCGTCATGTACACTCTCAGGCCCCTCAGGAACACCGGTAAGTAACAAGGACTAGGGGCCTCATTGCAGTACAGCCCAGTGGCTGAGTGCATGCCGGTGTGTGAGGCCCTGGGTTTGATTCCCTAGCAGTGTGAAAAAGAAAATAATAAAAAATAAAAATGCACTAGCTGCACAAGGTCCTGAGTTTTATCCCCAGCACCACAGAACATAAAGATACACTGTTGATTTGTAGACAAAGTTTTAGAATCAGTTTTCTAGTTGATGCCCAAGTTCCTGAACTCCATGTATGCGCACATGCACGTGTGTGTGTGTGTGTGTGTGTGTGTGTGTGTGTGTGTGCCCATCTGGGAGGGACCTGAGTTTAATCAGGCTTATAGTATGTGGTAGGGAGAAAGGAAGAAAGGAACAGGAAAGGCTGTTTAGGATCCAAAAACAGAAACACCCCACCTGGAAACTTTACCACATGTGACCATGTGAACACACCTGGGGTCTCCCAGGGCCATGAAAGGAACAAGTCAGGGAGATGATGCTCAAGCTTCATTAACTTCTTGGTAAGAAAGACTCAGGCGGGGGATATAGCTCAGCGGCACAGCACCTGCCTGGCAAGTGTGAGGTCCTGAGTTTGATTCCCAGTTCCAAAAAATAACAACAACAAAAAAGATAAGAAAGACTTGTGAGGGTTGGGATGTAACTCAGCAGGAGGATACTTGTCCAGCATGTGCCAGGCCCTGGGTTCAATCCCCAGCACTGCAAAAGAGAAATGTGAAATACAATTAACTACCTCTTGACATAAAACAGTACTGGGGACTGAAGCTAGGGCCTTCACGCTGAGTTACACCCCTAGCTCCTTTTGTACTTTCTGAGACAGGGTCTCGATAAATTCCTCAGTTGCCCAAGCAGGCTGGGCTTAAATTTACCATCCTCCTGCCTCAGCCTCCCAGAGTGCTGGGATTACAGGTCAAATTCTTCTTTTTTTTTTTGCCTTTTTGAGACAGGGTCTTGCTATGCAGTTCAGGCTGGCCTTGAGCGCACTTTGTAGCCCAGGCTGCTCTCGAACTCAAAACAATCCTCCTGCCTCAGCCTCCCGAGTGCTGTGATTACAGGCGTGCACCACCACGCCCAGCTAGGTCAAACTTTTTTAAAAGAAAAAAAATTATAGATCTCTAGGTGATGGTAGGCACCCATCTGCTTTCATCTCCTTCCATGGATTCCATAAAAATGATGAAGATTCATCTAAAAAGCGATATATCAGAGTGGGGCATGGTGGTACACACCTATTATTCCAGTTACTAGGGAGGCTGAGGCAGGAGGATTCCAAATTTTATTTTTTGAGGACAGAATCTTACTGAAAAGGGCTGGGGGGCTGGGCAAAGTGGTGGATGCTATATCCCCCACCTGAGTCTTTCTTACCAAGAAGTTAATGAAGCATGAGCATCATCTCCCTGACTTGTTCCTTTCATGGCCCTGGGAGACCCCAGGTGTGTTCACATGGTCACATGTGGTAAAGTTTCCAGGTGGGGTGTTTCTGTTTTTGGATCCTAAACAGCCTTTCCTGTTCCTTTCTTCCTTTCTCCCTACCACATACTATAAGCCTGATTAAACTCAGGTCCCTCCCAGATGGGCGCACACACACACACACACACACACACACACACACACACACACACACACGCGCACATGTGCACCACCACACCCCGCCTGAAGGCCACTGCCAGAGGAATCATTCCACCAGGAGAAGAGAATGCAGTGACAAGGAAGAGGGGCTAAAACACAGGAAAAGAGGAGGCAGGAGAACTGCAGGAGGATAGTGTCTCCATCCCTTGGGCTGCCATGCTGAATGCTACCACCAATGGCTTAATGATGGAGACCGTTCCCAGTTCTGCAGATTAGAGTTCTGAGATCAGAGGACCAGCAAAGCAGGTCTGTGGTACAGGTGTGGAACAGGGTTTCTTCCTTGCTTGCTGATGACTGTCCTCTCCCTTTGTCTTCCCATGGCAGAGAGGACGGGAAGAGGGCAGGGTTGACAGAGGAAAGAGGGGAATAGAGACTTTCCAGTGACTCTTTTTTAAAGGCCACTAATTGCATCCTCCTAGCCTCATTCTTATGACCTCACCCAACCCAAGTCCCTCTCCAAGGCCCCATCTCCCAATATTATCACGTTAGAGATGAGGGCTTCAGGATATGAACTGGAGAGACAGGAACTTCTCTCTGTAGTAGGTGGCAAAGGTGGGACCCTGCATAGCAAACCAGATGTTGAAACCCACAGAACACCTCAAGTAGTATAAAGGTATAGAAGTGAACAATCCCACTAGTAGGAGCTGGGACAGCCTGGTTTTGTCAGAGGTGTCTCCTAGGAGAGTCTGTGACACATGTCAGACACTGTCCACTCCAACTGTCTCCTGACACCTGCCCAGGGAAGATGGGCAGCTCCACAGGACCCTACATGTGTGCAGATCAACCTCATGCTAACCAACGGAAAAGGCTCTGTTCTGGGAAGAGAGTTCCTGAGCTCCTGAGGGGGCCTGGTGACAAGAGGAAGTCAGAATCAAAGGTCTTAAGATGCAAGATTGAGAACAATTTGATGCTGATTTAAAAACCAATACATGAAAAACAAAAATAGCAACTAAACTCAAAAACACTGTAGTATTAATTTTGGGGCAGGGACATTATACAGGATAGAAGGAAAAGCAATCTGTTTACTAGGACTTAGCTCAGAGTATAACACAATAAATACCAAGTGTTATGGTTTGTGTCTGTGTGTCCCCCCAAAGCCTCATGCAGTCATGGGGCAGGCTTTTAGAGTTTGATTGATTATGGATGTGAAGAGCTACACCCGCCCTGGGGTGGACAGTCTGCGTATGTAAGGGAGAAA